CTTCCAACTGCCAATAGTTCATACAGTTCTAATGCTGAGTGTAAGGACTGCGATGGTACAAAACGAGGCTGGAGAGGAAAGAGAGAGAAGCAGGGACCAGACCATGGTTACTCATCACACGATTTGACAGCTTGATAGGTCTTGGAAAGGATGACACTTAACTGAACTATTGCCATTGTTCTCTGACAGATCAAACTATTTAGCAAGCCCAGTTTTATGGTGTAGGGAGGTTAATTTCCAGACATGTATCTACATAGTTCAGAATATCCCTTCCCTTCACATAGCAGAAGGCTGTGGAGATACCATCACCACGCCATTGGTCTTCAATCAGTGTTTTCCGAATACATAAGATATTGGAGAATCTTCATGATCTTCAGCAGAAAATCAGTGGGGAAACTCTTTTCAATTTATACCGTATCTCTTAGCATACAAACTGGGTCTTTTGTTCCCTAATTGATTGTTTTTCCCTAAATCATGTTCCGATTCTCTTACACCCATTCTCTTTCTCATTTCCTCTTCTCTAGGCCTTCATTCCTGTCTATTTATATGACAGATTTCTAACATGTCTTCGTTTTCTACCTTTCTCAGAAACCCGTTCTGAATAAAAGTTGCCAACATGTTTCCAAAATCCCACTTTTATGATGCCACTCACCTAAGGGCTAACAATGATTTTCCCATTGCCAATATATCCGAGTGGGCTCCCTTCTTTTGGAACTCTCTAGAATAAAATCATATCCCACCTATGCACTTCTGTTTCACATTTCCCTGACAAAGAATTCAAGGCAATCAGATCTCTCTCTTCAAAGATTTGTCATACTGGTCTGCTATAATTGTTACCTTTGCTATCTATTTGCTGACATGGAAATCTCAGTAATAACATACCTAATTTATTAGAAATACCTTAGAGATGGACTCAGAAACCCTTGGTACTAGTTCAGACCATAGGGACTTCTTTGGCAAGGATACTTACTAACATATTTCAGTTATTTTAATGCCCCATCACTGACGAATGGATTAAGAAAATGTGGTATGTATACATAATGGAATTCTATGCAGCCATGAAGAAGAATGAAATGTTATCATTTGCTGGTAAATGGATGGAATTGGAGAACATCATTCTGAGTGAGGTTAGCCTGGCCCAAAAGACCAAAAATCATATGTTCTCCCTCATATGTGGACATTAGATCAAGGGTAAACACAACAAGGGGATTGGACTATGAGCACATGATAAAAGCGAGAGCACACAAGGGAGGGGTGAGGATAGGTAAGACACCTAAAAAATTAGCTAGCATTTGTTGCCCTCAACACAGAGAAACTAAAGCAGATACCTTAAAAGCAACTGAGGCCAACAGGAAAAGGGGAACAGGTACTAGAGAAAAGGTTAGTTCATAAAGAATTAACCTAGAAGGTAACACCCACTCACAGGAAATCAATGTGAGTCAACGCCCTGTATAGCTATCCTTATCTCAACCAGCAAAAACCCTTGTTCCTTCCTATTATTGCTTATACTCTCTCTACAAAAATTAGAAATAAGGGCAAAATAGTTTCTTCTGGGTATTGAGGGGAGGGAGAGGGAGGGGGCGGAGTGGGTGGTAAGGGAGGGTGGGGGCAGGGGGGAGAAATGAACCAAGCCTTGTATGCACATATGAATAATAAAAGAAAAAGAAAAAGTACGTGAAAGTATTTTCTACATTATGAAGTGCTACATAAAAAATCCTAATGGAAAATTTCTTACACGAAATTTAATGCATGAATTTTATACTGCCTGTATGTTTGATATCTTTGCAAGTGTTAGCCATCTCAGATAAAGTTATAAGTTACTGTTGTATGAAGTAATTAAAGAGGAACCCAACCTTTTGGGAGGCTAAATATTCAACAAAGTTTTGGTCATTCTTAATATTGGCCATCCAATGGAGAATCCTGGGTTGGTTTTCAAAAGCATAGGTGCTTTTATCAGATTTGCTATGGTCATTGAAAGGCGAAGTGGGGAGAACTAAGAGAAGTAAATTAATCTAAAATTTAGAACTATACTCTGACCAGCTTCTATGAGGAGAAAAGGCAGATAAGTACCCAAGAGAATGATAGCTCCAGTCATTCAAACTGACCTATAAAATAAAAATCATCAAAATGTTGACGAACCAGCAAAGAAATTATGTGCCTTCAATTATATGTATTAACAATAAGAAAGCAAAAAGGGTCTTGATTTCAGTTATCCTAGAAATATTTGTGAAAAGTCTAATGATAACCAGTATAAGGGCTAGAGTATTAGATTTTGTTAAAGAACTGTGAAAAGTGTTTGATAAAGAAGTAAATGAAAATACCAAATTCCAAGTTAAAAATCAAAAATATCATCGGGAATAGTTTTCATTTCAATGAATTCAAAAATAATGAAAGTTGTTATAGGCTCACTCAGGATTTTTAACATTTATTTTCCTTAATGTGTCAATTTTCTTTTCATTGTTGCTTAAAAGCCCTAAGGCTAGGGACAGAATGTTGCATATCAAGGGTCCTGAAAATACCATGATGGTATTTTCCTCACTTTATGAGGTACATGATTTGTTTCTTCCCCAAGCAGTGCATTTGCCTTTTCCACTTAGCAGCACTAGCCTCGTGCTATTTTTGAGTTATTTCCAAACTGGCCTAATTTTCTCAAACAGAATGAAGGTTCCTTAAGGGCAGCACAAATTTAACACTGCCTGGTCCTTACACTGACTGCAAGATGCCTACTAGATTTGTAACATGAACTTTTAGGCTCCCTGACATCAACTCTACAAAACAGTAGCGTTCTGTTTAAAATTTCTCAACTATAAATGTATTCTGAGCAAAAAAAAAAATCTTATGAAAATATAAACTTAGCTCCTCATAAATATTTACTTTACTGTGTTTAGAGAACCATATTTATTTATGGACGAATGTCTTACTCAGTTAATGAGATGTTATTTTGTAAAAAACTGGTGCTTTAAAAATCATTTCCCAATTACTAATCAGGTTAGAAATACTTAGAAAATTTGGTACAGTTCCACTGAAATGCTCGTTTTGATATTATGCCCATACCTTGTAAACAAAATAATAACTCTAAGGCACCAAAGGCTAAATAGCAGGTTGCAATACTATTTTGTGCACAAAAGTCAACAAATTTATTGTAAAGAGGTTGTGTAGTTAAAGAAATATAGGCGTATCTTAATGTTTACATAAAGGAATGGCTGCATTTTTTGAAATCTCAAATGATACATTAAATACTGGGCAGGTTGAAGAAATTATTTTTAGAACATTAAATTATATTGACTATGTTAAATAAGCACTATTTTTATGGACTTGCTGGTAAATGTGTATTGTATCTATTCTTTAACACAGCTTTTTCACACTCATGGATATGTCTACAAACTACTTGAAATACTTCTGACCTACAAAAACCTATCCTATATTTCATAGTGTGTACAAAATCCCCAAGAAAAATTTTACTGGGTGATAATATACATGAAATCCATATAGATTTCAATATACATGAAATCCATATAGAATCTAACCAAAATTAAGCAGGCATTAAATGCCAGAATACTTGAATATTCAGTCTGCCATTCTGGCATAGCAGTTAGGTTTTATAAACCCTTTAACTCTTTACAGTGGGCAACTGTTTGTGGCTTTAGGAGAATAGACATAAAATTGGCCCATGTAGAAAACCAACTTTAAAATGAATTAATTTCAAATTATGCCACTTGAAACCCTTTCAAATGACTCATTGGGTATTAACCATGTCAATCACTAGTGACAAAATATTCATGTTCCTGTCATGGCAGAGTTAAGAAGCAGCTGACAATATCAGCATGGTCATCTCTAACAGTTGAATTATTTGATGATTACTTCTTGTAAAAGTTTATTTGTTCCTTATACTGGAAACCCAATTACCTTGACAAGCAGTCTCTCATTAGTTTTGAGGTAGTGTTATAATGAAGAATTCAGCAGGATAATAGGACATCATAATGTTGTTAAATAGGCTTCAAATGTCACCATGGAATCCATATTTATTTAGACGATAGATGGTACATAGTTGAATGGCTTTTCATGACATTAAATTACTATCTGATGAAATTTATCCATACTCTAACACAGAAGATCAATTTTTCCTGAAAACTTTCTGAAACGCCATATCCTAACACAAGTATTGGTTTTAAAAATATTATTACAGAAAATACAGCTTAAACTCTTTTGGTGATACAAATTATAAGTTTCACAAATTTGCTAATTAAAGGTTTTCTTTCTTTAAGCAAAGGAGAAGAAAATTGAGGAATTTCTTCTGTAAATTCTTAAAATTTTCAATGAGAAGCATTCACAGCAGCTTGGGCTCATTTTTTACACAACATAGTATATGGCAGTAACTTTAAGGATGTGTTGCTCTTAAAATCAAAAATCCAATCCAACATTTGAATGAGATTTACTAGGCAACAAAAATAAAATTCATTGCAACATAGTGCACTTGAAGGCACACCAAAAGTGCCTTACCATCAAGCATTCTTACTGTTTTCTCTTCTGAAACATTCAATCATTTTCTTCTCTTTTTATACAGACAAAGAGAACAAATTATTCTTAGTGAAACATTTACAAAAATCAGCAATGCAAAAAAAAGTAGGACTAATAAATTAAGGGTCCTCTTCCCTACTTCATAAGTGAAAATAAATGACTGCCTTTGTTCACTGGGTTAATATCTAGTAGCAATGGCTACAGAATTAATAACACCTATTATAAAACACCGGTGAAAAGATTTCCAGTGGATATTGAAAGACAATACAATAACAAGTGTTTGGAATCATCAAATAAGTCAAGAGACAGTATCTTAATAGGATGACTGAATCAAGGCATGATGATAGTGGTTAAAACTGAATTTTAAGGACCTACTCATATTTTAGAAGTATGATATTTACTTACTAACTAATGGTACTAATAGAAATTAGATTCTGTAGAAATAAAGATAAGCATCTTTATTAATATATCATCGTATTCTCAACTTCAAAAAGTTCAAAAAAAAAAAGATTGGCTCGTCTAAGACTATCTGCTTACAAAAGCTTTTACATTATTTTTGGAAACAAATTCTGTCATTATATGTTGTAATACAACTCAATTAGTGATCATTACAAGGTATTTTATTTAATCATCAAAAAAAATGTCTATTGCTTTGTTATATTTAATGGGCACTAACCTAACAGCTACTTTCCTTTCTCAGATAGGTACATGTACATTTTCCTTAAATTGGCAGTAGAAGTTTTTATATGTTATGCCAGTTGTTCCTCCTCTAAATAATCTCCTTTGTCTCTAAGTTACTCTTCCAGGTCAGTCTAGGACTATATTCCCTACAGATCACTGAAATCAAAATGTCATAATTGACTAGGTTAGTGGCTTTTCAATTAGGCTGGGAGTTTCTGGAAGTTACCTCAGCCATCCTAGTGGCCTGAGGAGTGGGGTTCTAACACTGTTCACTCTCAGATCCTGGTATTGTATCTTCTTATTTATGGCATGTACAGAATGTCCCAGACAATTAAAAAAATTTTTGCTGCCTAAATAGTTTTCTAAAGCATAGTCACAATGATTTATGAAACTTGGGGAGTCTTGGTGGATGAAGCAAGGGATACTCTTGTCCCACATAAAGTCTAACAATCACTGGCCAAAGAACACAAAATTGGCCTTGACATGTTAACATTATTCTTCAGTCTGGTCCTGAGTTAGAGGCTCAAGTCAAAATGAAACCAATGTTTTAAGTAGATACTAACAAAATGATTAGTATCTCAACCTCTTCAAGTCTATTTTTTGCAGAATAAGTGGCATATCACTTATTTACAGTATAAGAAAAACGAATGATTAGTAAATACTTCCTAAACTGCAACCCTTGACATTATGTATGACCTTTTTTCTCGCTCGTTATGCCAGACAAAGAAATAAACACAGAAATGATCACATTATACTTGCAAATGACTATACACTTGTAGTCATTTTCTTTCTACATAAATTAAAATCAGATATGAGCCTCGACTCAGGGTTTGAACGGTGGCAGACTCACTAATTAAACTGCTTTCACAAATGGCCTGAATCCAAAGACATCCATCATGTAGGAAAACAAACACTATCAGTTAAAAACTTGGAATGAATACAAAACTCTAGGACCCAAAGAAACAGAAATGCTTTTGATTAGCTTGTGACTCTTAAAAGGGAAATGCTGAGAGCTGGTGTTACTGTTCTCTATCAACTTATTTGTGTTCTTTTAATATAAAAGAAACTTCAAAGTTTGTCTTCTTTCTCAATATGAAAAAAATAAGCAGAGGTATTAGATGAAAAAATATATAAATGCTGGTGTGGTATAAATGAACCTTTAAAATGTTCTATTTTAGGAAATAAAAAGCATATATTGTTTCTTTCAATTCTGAGACTTTTCTTCTAAACACAAGATCATCAAATAAAGATTTAGTCCACCAGGGCATAGCTATGTTCCCCTTAAATGAGTTAAATTTTAATAAATGGAACCTTTCAATAAACCAAACGAAAAACTATCTAAAAACATGTTTTGTGATAAATCATGGTAAATTTGGCTGTTTTGATTTATGTCCAGATTTACTACTTACGGAATAACCTTCTTTTTATGGGATGATAGAATGGTGCAGCTATGACATCTCTGCTGTCCAAAAACACATGTATGAACACACACACATGGGCAAAACACATCCTGATGCATGAATCTACAGAGACATATATTACATAATTTTTGGCAAAGCACTGCTTTTAGGACCTAATTTTTTTTAAGGAAAAACAGGAAAACAGGAAATATCCCTCCCACAACATTTGAATGTTCATACCACTAATCCTATAGCACATTAGAATGTGCAGATACCACACATCCTACACAGTATCTGATAGATTTGAAAGCCATTATAAAATGTTCTCAAGTGTATTTCATTAACTTAAAATGTCAGTATATAATACCAAATGTCCAATTAAAGAATTTAATATAAAAATATCAGCACAATGCCATGTTTTCAATCTGTTTATTGTGTATGCAACCCAGATGCCACTTTAGTTGCTGTTTTAATTTTATTACTAGAGTCCATAACCCTACAATCGATAAGACTTATACCACTTTAGGTATTTACTGAGATACTTAGAAATACTAAGAAAAAAAAATCAGTATTCAAAGGATTAATTTTGTTTATATAATAACAATAAATTATTTTATCATCTTCTTCTGTTCAAAATCCAGCTTTGAACCCGAGGAAGGCTTTCAAATCATGTTAATTATGGTGATCCTTTAACCAGTAGCAGTTTGGTTACCGATTACTCGGAGGATCTCTTTGTGAATGCCCCCTTCCTGTGTATTGATATTTGCATCCCCGACTTGGCCGTCTTCATAGCTAAAACAGAAAACACAGAAACACAAAACGTTTAAGAAAAGATGGCAGCATTTTAAATGGTTTCAAAATGGTATTTTATACCTAAAACGCAGCCTAAGGGAATTAAAAGCAAAGGATACAGTTATTTTTCAGTCATACTTTGTGAAGTGTTTGTGACTAAACACAGAAGCACCTGCTATTCTACTCCTTGCCTTACTTTATTCTCTTTCTTCCATTTTATTTATTTATTTATTTATTTGATGGTGCTGCGTTTGAATTTAGGGCTTCATGCTTGCTAGCCAAGCACTCACACTAACACTTGAGCCATGCACCCAGCCCTTTTTCTTTAGTTATTTTTCAGATATAGTCGCATGCTTATTGCCTAGAACCAGCCTTGGATCATCCTTCTACCGATGCTTTCCACATATCTGGGATTACAGACATGAATCACGACACCTGGTTTGTTCTTTGAGATAAGCATTGCCGTGGTTGGTCTCAAAGTACAGTCCTGCTACCTTTACTTCCCAAATAGCTGAGATTAAGATGTGAGCCACCACACCTGGCCTTTTAACTTTAACTGTCTCTCTGCCACCTAAAACTTTGCCTGAATTGCAGGAAAACACCCAGTGTCTCTGGCATTGTAAGCATTTCCCATAACAGTTGCTCTGAGGTCAACTGCAGAAGAATATACCAACTCCAGCTTTATGTTTCTGAGGTTCTGTCTTCTTCACCCCATTTCTACTTCACCCATTTACTGCTTTTCTCACTGGTGACATTCACTTCACTTTCTATCACCATTTCTTTGCCATGCCCACCTTCTAGTTATTATTCAGCTACAGTCAGTGTTGCATCTTTTCCTTATCATGTGATAGTTGTTCTATTTTGTCTGCAACATAGTCAGTACTTCAGGTAAGAATACAAGCCTACTAATTTTAGCCAAGCAGTAAATACAAGGTCCTGACATTAAAGGACAGCAAATGCTAAGTTCTTTAGAAAGAAATAATTACATTTTAGATGTAATTATTACACTTTAGGTAATTCATTTCCTCAAATTAACTTACTTTGCAGTAAGAATTTCCAAAGAATAAATTTTCGAACTTGCCTGATAATATTCAGAGTGAAATAGGTGATGAATTAATTTTATTGCATGAAAATGGCTTCAAGAAGGACGCTTTCAAGAAGTGGTAATTACTTCAAAATAGGTAACAAGAGGCATAAGAACAGTGTCTCAAAGATTAATGCACACCACTGTCTTTTCCTAGCCATACTTAAATTCTCCTGAGATAGCACAATGTAGCAAAATGAAACAAATGACATACAGCAATGAGAACTTAGGTCCTTACATAATCCATTGCTTAACCAACAAATCACAATTCCACTTGTACCAAGACTAGAGTTGGTTCAGGCTGTGATCAACTCAGTTAATTCTTACCATACAGGTTAGCTACCTAACTTACACTTAGCACATTTGTATCTGTCTATATTTCTCCCAAGTTGATTATAGTAAACATTACTGTAAGTTTTATGTTTCTGGCATCTGTGGTAAGCAGATCAATCAGGTGATTAGAGTAAATAGTCTGGAAAGAACTAGAAAATATGCTAAGTAAAATGACTGAGTTGTTTAAATTGAATCAGTTTGTGTCAGGTTATGAAAAGGTTTATTTTTATGGGCAAGTACGACATGTTGTTCTACTTTTTTGTATAAGTTCTGCTGACCTAGGGTAAAGCTAAGCCATCCATGTATCTGAACGGCGGGGGGGGGGGTGGTTAAAAGGCTTGAAGATGTTAATAGTGTTTCACCAAGACAATCGGAATATAAAAAAGAATGGGGCAGACACAAAGAAAACCATACTGCTAGAGAGATGGAATTGGCAGGTCTTAGGACTGCTTTCTAATTTCAGAAAATAGCCAATAAGTAACTTTACTTGAAACTTCCCAGTTTAGGTCTGCCCTATCTCTATTGCCATTTCAGTATATTCAACACACGTACCACATCCTATGTAATTTGAACAGATGTTGAATAAGACATACTTGGCTTAAATGAGCCACAGTCAACACACTACCATCTCTATTCTCTACAATTTAAAGTTGACCTGTGAATAAGATTTATCTGCAAACCACTATAACTTCCCATTTTTGTCTCAACTTACTGCAAATTTCCTTCTAGCCCTACTGCTAATTGAGGAGACATTATCTCCTCTGTCTGAAGCATGTAACAGATTTCACTGCTCGTTTTCTTGAAGCTACATTATCTCTTTCCTTAGCTAGCTTTTGACTACTAATTCTTAACTTCTTTGACTGCATATGCTTCCTCAGTCCCCCATCTCAATGATGGTTTTATATACAATTGATTCACTCTCCAGTTCTCTCTCTCAACTCAGTATCTGCCACCTCCCTCAATTCTGTCAGCTCTCCCATCACTAATATGCTAAGACCTAAAACTTTTTTCCATACCTTCAATCATTACATATTTCCCTAATATAACTCTCCTACAGACATCATGATATAGTATTTTCGAAACTCAACTTCTAATTTTGACCCTAACACTGCTCTTTTTCACCATATCTGTATCTTGTTTTGATGCATCACCAAAATCCTCAGCTGTTCTTTGCTCTTCCCTGCATCCAGTTATCATTGCTATCTTATTTTAATTTTCTTAATTATTTCCAATTATTTCTTCCCTCTACCTGATGCCCTTATCTTTGTTTAGGGCTTCATTATAATACATGAAAATGAGGGTTTTTCAAGTTGCAGGTTGTATGTTACTTGTGGGTTTTAAAAAAAGTTGTCCAAACTAGCATATTTTATTTTTATTGTTGTGCTGAGTCAAGGGTACTTTGGGGCATCCACAAAAGTTCTTACAATATAACTAATTCATAATTGAATTTACCTCCTCCATCATTCTCCTGTATCCCCCCTTCACCCAGTCCTAGAATATTTCAACAGGTATCACTTTTCCATTTGCATACAAGTATACACAGTATTTAAACTATATTCACCCTCCCACACCCTTTCCCCAACTCTTCCCCCTCCCACTAGTATTAGCCTTTCCCCAACCCCCACGGCAGCACCTGTTCCAACCTCCTATTTTCCAATTTTGTAAAAACAAAAAAAGACATTTTGTTTGTTTAAGATAGCTATGCAGAGAGTTTCCTTGTGATATTTCCATGTACATATGTATTGTAACACGAATTGGTTCATCTTCTCTATTTTTCTCCTTTCTACTTCAGTCACCTTCATATGATGATTTCAACAGGCTTAAAAATTCTATATTCATTCTTTGTAGAGAATTAAAAAAAACTAGCATTTTAAATGATATTAGAATATAACAGAGAATATTGACTTCACTACAGATAAAAAGCATTATCTTTTTGAGAAAAGCTAACCTCAGACTGTTATAATAATTTTATAACTGATCCCTCTGTTTCTGTACTTACCCTCATGGTCCCTCCTAAAATACCTATTCTCTGTTATCTGGCTGAAGTGATATAAATGACCTCCACCCCTCACAGAGCAAAATCCAACTTCATTGTCAGTACCTGATCCTTCATATCCAACCCCACACTTCCTCCCAATCATGCCCTCTCACTTTCCCCTCACTCTTTATTTTCAATTAAATGTAAAGGCTTGCTATCTCCAAATATAATATGTTCACCGACATTTAAAAAGCATTAAAGGGTGGGGGGTAAAGGAGGTGAAGGGGTAGATCAGACCAAAGTAAAGTATACCCACAGTGAGAAGCCCTTTTGAACATCAACTTAAATATTATTGACAAAAACAAAACTATAAAATAGGTACAATGTGTGTGTGTATGGGGGGGTGAGGTATGGCCAGGTGAATGAAGGAAATTAAGGTGACTTCATATTCCTATATGAAATAGAACTAAGAAACCTCTTGCAGTTGCTTTAAGTAGAGCAGGGCGGGGGTTGAAGGGAAGAGACAATAGGGACAATGTAGAATTGTCACTATGATTCCCCCCAATATAAAAAATATATTTAAGGGCTGGAGGATTTGCTCAAGTGGTAGAGCACCTGCCTAGTAAGGGTTCAAACCCCTGAGTTCAAACTCCAGTACCACCAAAAAAAAAACTTTATTTAAAAAAAAACATTAGAAAGCAATGAGCCTAATATAACAGGGAGAGGAGAGGGAACAGAGCAAAAGTGAGAACAAGCAAAGTAACAAGAGAGAGGGGGTAGAGGTAGGGACAAAAAGACAGAGACAGAGTTTGAAAATATTAAAGAAAATGCCTGTTATCTGGTAGCTATGAAACCCACAAAGAAACACAACATTTATGGATTTAAGAAAAAATTGTCCAAGACTCTCAAGTTCTTCAAATATGAAGGATGTATAATAAAAATCAAGGAAAAAGCAAAGTAGCATTTGATTTGGGCAACTCACAAAGCTTAAGAAGCAGGAGTTGCTAATGGCATAGGGTTAGCCATCTCCATAGTGCAAACCTAGGTTGTTACAGTAAAATGCCTTTATTTCCAGAAAGCAATAAAATTTTAAAAAGAAACAGAACAGGTTTGAAACCTACAGGGAAGTGATATACTTGACTGGTTTTCCAGTAGAAGGAAAAAGGAAAACATCTAAAAGAAGACAAAAATTATTAATATTCTCAAGAATACTAGAATTTTAATTAAAAAGTTCATAAGAAATCTGATATGACAAGGACATCATCTACTTCATAGTTCATATGTAATCTCTTCATTAAGTGAGATCATTCAGTCTTTTGCCATCACTTTCACTTCTGTGCGACTGCCATGCATGGCAGAATTTGAACTTCACAAGGGGAGGAGATAGAGTTATATAATTAAGTATAGGGCAAGGCAGCCCAAGAGATACAAGACAGTGAGAAAAATGCATAAAGACTGTTGACATTTTTGACTGGGAGGTAACAGAAGGCATGAGGGAAAAGATCATGGCTGAGTTCACTTTGCAAGATAGAGTGCTTTTCCCTAGTATGTGCACTCATGCTTGAGTTCACTTTGAAAAACAGGAGCTGGGAGTGTAACTCAGTG